ACAAAAACTCAAAACATAAAATTATCCTCAATATATAGGTAATACCTATTCAACCCATTCAATAAATATTATTCAGTTCTACAAATATGATTCCACTTTAAAAAAAAATCGGGTAGAGGTCCGATCCCCAGTTATGGCCATGGTCATAATTCATGATTTATATTAAGTATACCTACTTTAAATAAATATATAGTAGGTTGTAACTTGTAGGTATATCTATATAATATATAAATATTTTACAGATTACCGGCGATTTGTATTCTTTCATAATGCATTCAATCAAATTCTGATTTTTGTTATTTTTCAGTACCTTTGTATTATAGTGCATACATTTAGGTTGATGCATCAACATTTAAATCGAAATTTAAACTAGTAGATACTGTTATTAAACTTTAGTTACCTATGTTACCTACTAAGGATAATATTCCTATTAGTGTTAGTATTAATACCTAATGAGTAATGACTGATAAGTAATAACTAGGTAATAATTAATAAGTCATAAATCATAATGGTTTTTCATAAACCATTATTTTAATATACTGTTTATATTATTTAATTAGTATATTATATCAGTGGCGTGCTCAGTTTTTTCGTATGGGGGGGGGGGGGGGGGAATGAACAAATACTACATTTTTTTTTTTTTTTGAGTAAACCGAAATTACTATAAATTAAGCATAAAAAAAAATTCATTGGGGGGCTATCACACCCCCACGGTGAGCACGCCCCTGTATTATATTATTACTATTTACTTATACGAGATATTTTAGCCTAGTCACTATAGTATACTATTATATTATACTCAGTAATTTCCGCACTACCTTTATGTAAAATAATATTATATTGTACATTTGTACCAATAGTATGTTAATATTATATTTAGGTACTAAAAAATTTCAAAAACCAAAATTTGAATTAATTATTAATTAGGTAGAGAAAAAAAATTAGAGTTGGGTATAAAATAATATACATAGAATATAGATATACCTTCACTATTCATACAACCAGCTGGTGAATCATCCATATACTAGTGTACTACTACATATTTTATTCGTTAAAGAAAAAAATTAATTTAATAACTCAAAATTATAAAATTATAATATAATATAATTATATTTATCTACAATTTATAAATGCCGTATACCTACTATGGCCTATATATGATAATATTGTAGCCTAGCCTGCAGTAGGTATTGTAATTTATAATTATTTTGATGTAAGTACAGCATACATGGTACATGTACCTACCACATATATTCAAAATACATTAGGTAGGTATATTGTGTATATAGGTAAAATAATGCAAATATGCAATTATGTAATTTAGGTACCTAGGTATACATAATACATGGTTAAATTTAAAACTCATATTTACACATAATGGAAACCTTGAAATATTGTAAAAAAAAATAAGACTAATGAATTTGTCCTTCCAGCATAAATGTATACTTAAAAGTAAAACGATACACTTAGGTAATTTTTAGTTTAAAAAATACAACATAAAACTTAAGTGCAGTCATCACAAGAACATTATTTTGTGTTTATGCGTGAACACTTGACTTTTAAAGTGTCTCATTTACTATTTTAAAGAAATTATAATGAGTATGACGAAAACATTAACTATTAAGCTTTAGCTTGGACAAAACACCAATGTACCATTATGTACCTATGTAAAGTTGCAGAGCATGTTTGTGTCAACTTAGAGTAATATATAATATAAAGCTCAAAAATTACCTTATTATAACTATAGTCTATAAGTCATTACAAATTAAAGTAAGTATTGGTAACTATTAAGTATATTATATTTACCTTTAAAGGTTTAAATAGCTCATAAATTCTGATAAATAAATTATTCATTATTTTTTTAGTAAAGTTGTATAATTTATTTGTATTGTTCAATTTTCAGTATTATTTATTATTTTAATTTTTAACCAAGCTATAGACTATAGAGTATAATATAGACAATTATTACAAATTATAATGTGAGAAGTAAACATTGTTTATTTATCATTCTGAACAATGAAGTTGGGAACTATGTTATATTATTATTATTTTACTGCTGTAAGAGACAATAACAATACCTAGGTACCATTCATAATGTTAAACCTAAAAACATTTATAAAATTATAAGTAGTCAGTAAAAGTACCTATGGGCCATGACCTTATACGAGGTAGATAGGTTTATTTTTTAGTAATTATATAGTAATTTATTAGTAATTACATATAGTACATACTATACATAGTGATAAGTAAGTAATAACTAATACGTTATCTTATGAACTTATGGGTACAATTATAAATTTATAACATATTGGTAAATATATGGATTGGAAAATAATTGTGTAATTTATTGGTATAAGAATAATGTTTAGTGCATAGGTCCTATAACATGTGGACAATTATATATATAGCCATAAAGGTAAATAATTATAACTTTATTCTATAGAATAGGTATACACCTATTATTTATTTGAGATTCATAAATATAATTACAATGTATCAAATCTGATATTTTTAAAATCAAACTATCAAATAAGTACCATTGATTAAATATACTGTGTAATAATACCTATCGATATATTTTCTGATGTCTGGAAAACAATTTCAACTCGCTTCACGTTTATTGGGTTTGTAATTTGTACAAATTATAATATTACTAAAGGTGTGTCGGTGACCGTAAGTTGTGAAAAAAAAAATTTTCAATATTAATCCCCATTCATTTTTCTTTATTACTTAATCTAAAACATAATAACTAATCCAAGACATTTAGACATTTTTTTTAACCAGACGATTCAGGCAAACCGTTGAATAGAAACGATGGTTGGAAATCTGCAGGGAATGTCCATTGCCAGCTCTTAAAAATACTGCACGAAGGACGACGAGATGACATTTTGCGGCGGACTGTCGGCCCAGGACGCCTGGCGGCCACCAAGCCACTCCTCAAGGTTTCTCGTCGGGCCGCCATGACGGCGTGAGGTGCACTACAACAGTACAACGCTCGGCCTAATACCACGGTTTAGTCGGCAGTACTCTCATTACTATGGCATGCAGCAGTGGCAGGATCAGCAAGCGGCAAGCAGAAATCAGCCTTTGCCGGAGGACCACAACCACGGAAATGGTATGTGCAGGAACCGGCAAGTGTGTTCGTTCTGCGGGCGGGGGCGATTCGGACTAGAACGTTTGCGGCTGATGATCGAGGTGTGGGCGGGTGCGTGACAGGAGGAGGAGGAACTTTTGGATGTGATGGTGAAACTCATCGATGCTTGACGGTGACTGCTGCAATTCCGAGAAGCGTGACACGGGTCAAGAATTCCGGTGAGCATATCATTGGAAGCTAGCCGGTCAATCGTAGGTATGCTGAAATTACAATTTTACACAATATTATTAACAATTTTGATTTTTTCACGTTTTTAGGGTTCCGTACGGTAAAACGGGACCCTATTACTAAGGCTCCGCTGTCCGTCTGTCCGTCTGTCACCAGGCTGTACCTCATGGACCATACAAGTTAGACATTTGAAATTTTCACAGATTATGTATTTATGTTGCCACTATAACAACAAATACTAAAAATCCTAGAATATATAATATAATAGAAGTGTTGTTGCCAACATGTTTATATATGATGGTACGGAACCCTACGTGCGAGAGTCCGACTCGCATTTGGCTGGTTTTTTTGTTGACATATTGTTATATACTTATATGGTCTATTTAGTCTATATAATAATAGTTGTAACACTCAGCACTCTTAGTTCATAAATACTGTATATTATGCTTATAATTTACTTAATATATGTTAATATGTTGTTTTTTAGTAGGTATATAATATTTGATTTGTAAAATACGTTTTTAGTTTAACCACATATATATAAGCTATAAGCATCTAAGTAAGTAACACATACGATACTTTAACTTTTAAGTCCCTAACCCTAAATTAAGTAATATAATACAAAGTGATTATTAAGTATTATTGTTAATTTATCATCATCGCTTTAAATTGTTTTATCCAGAACTTAAATTTATACTTACCTACCTTATTAAATTAATTATACTATAATACTATATTATAAACTATATATACTTAACTATAATAATACTCACTGTAAAAAAATAATATTTTTTAATGGATTAATAACTACTATTTATCTATTAGGTACCTACATACTAAACAAAAATAGAAGTTTCAATCACCGTATATAATCATGAAAGGCCATTAACAATGTTGATATAAGTGAATCATTATAAAAATAAATAAGAATTTGCTAAGTGATTTTTTTAATAAACTCATTACAGACATACCTATTGTACATTACTATAATTTGACATGCGAAAATCGTATTAAAAACCTGAATAAAGTTTGCAAAGTTTCGAAAGCAATATAACTAATAACTTTTATAAGGTTTAGGTATATATTGTATATTATAAGTTTATATATATCATATATTGTGACGATAGTTGAGAATTTATTAGGTGTACTATACGAACATACTAAATCTTATTCTGAATTTTGACCTTTACGTAGGTAATGTTGTATCTATAGGTACTTATAAACATGTATATAATAATTATAATAGTATACAAACAAATATAATATTATATAGAATAAATAAAATAATTTATGTAAACGTATTATTGTGTTTACATTGGTCAATTTTGTATTGATAGAATTAATAATATTTATTATGTCATATTGTCATAAGTACCTACCTATCTATAGTACTTTCATACAAAATTAAGTTTTTTTTCTATACGTATATAGGTATGGTATATAACCTAAGTAATTGGTTATTTCAAATAATATAAAGTGCACTGCTTTGTAGTTTTGTACATCGTGATAAATTATATAAATTATAACTGATAATAAATTATGGATAAAAACATATATAATTAACTATGTAACATCAAAAATAATTATTGAAAGATTAAAAAAAAAAAATTGGGGTCAATCCTCTAAACTTGGGAAAAGGACGCATGTTCCTCCAATAATGTGATGCGATGATGCTAAGATGCCACTTTTCCAAGTACCTTTCAAACCAATCAAACCGCAAGATTATAAAGCAGTTAGCGAATACCAGGCCAGCGTCAAGTGCTTCGAGACCTTGGCCAAAGCAGAATTTCGACAGGCACACAAGAGCTTACCGAAAATACAACCGATGCGATGGGGACCTGTGACGATGAGCCAACATGAGTTACATTATCAAGACTAACGAACAACACCGTTGACCGTTTCATAACCCCACATGCCCTTTTCGTGTTATCGTATTTTTCACACCATCGTGACTTGATGTTTTGAACCTATACGGATCGTGTCACCGGAATGCAGCCACTTCCCCATTGTATTATTATTTATTAATTATTATACACAAACAATCATTATTTTCCTTAACTATTGTATACCTTTGTAAATGTGACTCACCAATAATTAGTATCGGAGGAACCATCATCCAAAGCCCATGATGTCATGCTCCCATGCGCCATGCTCTGGACCGATTTGACTTCATTATAAGATTTAATAGGGAATAACGCTATGTGTTACATGGTACCAAATTATGTTCAATATAGTTGTTTCAAACATAATATACATTATTAAAATATGAAATACCATGCTTTAAACATTCTATTTTGGAATAAAGGTTTTTTTTAAATATTTTAGATTATTACACTGTATAAGGTCGAAACTCGATGATCGATGTTATATACTTATAATCTTATATACATATATACAAGTAAAAACAAGTTAATTTCTAATTTATATAAACTGTGAAAACAGCAACAGAATTTCAAAATGTATATATTTTACATCTCTGTATCAAGTAATAATAGTGAACATAAATCGTAATAATAAATTATATATATTAATATATCATATTAAACATTGTTGGTAATTAGAGCGAATAAAAGCACATATAAACCAATGTATGACCAATATATAGGTACATTTCCTATACACCATACAGACACCACACCGCTCAGAATCGTTTTTCTTATATAATGATATTATATCATTGAATTAAAATTTAATACCATCCATTATATTATACAGTGACCCACTTGTAACCTACTGTACAGCAGAGCACCTTTTTTGTTATTCAGTTGTATTCGGAAATCGTTAAGTTTACACAAATAATAGATATTTTGGTAGAAGACAGGTTAGTGTTTTAAGTCATTCGGTGTCTATATAATAAAGACCGGGTCAGTGGACGCTAATTTTTCTTCTAAACAGTAATTGTAAATAGTAAATACCAACGTATTTCGCGAAATAAATAATATTATTTTTATCGACTTATCGTACGCCGTCCTATCCGCCGCCGCAGCGAGAGTCAGCGCTGCCAACTGCGCTCGTCCGTCGGCGGTCCGAGACATTTTATCTGGCCGGGCCGTGTTGACACTGGAACTGCACTGCCCCCACCACTCACCAGACGGTCGGGGCCCGCAGCTCCACCAGCAGACGTGCAGTGCCCGTGAACGTTGCGTGCGTGTGCGCGGTCCGTCTGTGGTTGGTGTGCATTAATCACAAAACGATATTGTTATCAGAACGATATGGTAGTGCAAAGTTCGACCGTCTCGTCGCGGGTATCTTCATCGTCGTGAAAATAAAAAAAATATTCGAAAGATAAAACCGACGCAAACCTCAGCGCGTGTGGTCCGGTCGATCTGAGTCCGTCGTCCGCAGTTGTAATAAAAATATGTTCCTTCCGTCGTAATATTATTATTATTATTTTTATTATTATATTACATCGTAATCGTCCGAAAACCGATCGCGGCCGTCTGGTGTCGAGTGCAGCTCTCGTGTTTAGAGTGTAGAGTTGGTGTGCGTACCTCTGTTGGGTGTAAAATAGTAAATTAATAATATAAATTCGCGAGTGCAGTGCCCGTGATACAGTGTCGAAATCCGCCGTCGTCGTCGGTAGTTGCTCAATAATTTCGTTTTGCTAATGTCGTTATGTTTTATCGTCGTTGTTGTTCTTATTATTGTTATTCGTGTTATAGTTGTGACGAGGTGAAACGATACGTGTTAGGTGTCCGAAAATCATAATCGTACCGCCGGTAACATAGGTCCAGGTCTAACCTGTTTAACATATTATTATTAGGTATTATATTTTATTCGTGCCTCCGAATTCTTATAATAAATATGACCACTCTCTGCCTACTGGATATTGGAGTTGTGCCTCCGAAGTCGCAGAGGTGGCAATCGTAAACAAGGTGTATCCGTCGGTTTTCGCAAATGACACTGCAAACGCACTGGACAGCACCGACTACTCGACTGGTGCGAAAAAGGTAACTTTTTTATTTCACTTAGTTAATTCCATCCACCCGCGCTTTCCCCCTATCGGGTCCGATGAGTAGTTAATTTATTTTCGGAACGATTTGTCTTTCCCGCTGGTTTTCCCGAGGGATGACCCGGAGGATTATCGTGTAAAATACAGACGGTGATAAGGAAACTGATACCGAACATCAGCTAATAGGTAGTACTTAAGTGTCGTAATCATCCCAGCAGTAGGTGTCATGAGCAGGTCGAGTCGGTAGTTGTATACGCGTTAGTAACAGTTTTGTTTTAGACCTGAGTAGACGGGTTTTCGACTATACCTCGGTGTAGGAATCTACTACCCATAATATAATAGTACCACTATCGTAGTATCATGATCTGAGACTGATTACGATATTGTTAGACAGTTTCCCAAATTGTCAAATAATTGTCTTCTCTTTTTGTGAAAGCCATATTATACGACGTGTGCGTAGGTACCTATCATTCAATGATTGTTATTATTTGTAATGTTATTGCATTCTGATTTATCGCGAATTTCATACCAACTCTACCGTCGTTTGACATTGGGCGTAATATCTGAACAAAACTAATGGTTATAATTTTTGATAATAATAATAGTAAAAAAATTTGGAACTGCCACAGATAACTGGGCCAAGGATATGTTTATATATAGGTGATAATTGATAACACTCAGTATTAGGTATTTCAGTATTTGGCTACACAATACGTACCTACCGTCTATTACTTTTCAGCTAAAACATGTGATTTTTGTTTTTTATTTTATGGTATAAATTTATTATATCATTGATATCCGTCGAGATTTTGGTTGTCGTTGTGTAGGGTCCTAATGCACTATTTAATTATCAGCACTCATTGCGTGATCAATGGCTTATTACATTACATTTTAATCGCTAATATCGATAGGCACGACAGCAAGGAAAACATTAAAATATAATATTATTTATTTCTATATAGGTAATCAGTAATCACACATGTCATTAATATTTGCCGTACTCAGTCTGTTAGGTCCGAGGTTACGTCTGTGTTTGATGCGTTGAGAGGAATGCGTGAAATATAACCCTTGGGGGCTAAACGCGCTTGTTTGGTTTATTCTGTGGGTGGTTACGACTATATGACTATATTCTATTATGTATGTTTGAAAACCAATTTACGTATATTATGTTTGAGGTTTTTTTTAAAGAAATAATAAGTAATATACCTTGTAATATATCTTTTCATGAGGGCATTTGTGATTAGTGCATTCAAAGCGATACAGGACCTCGTACGGGACACCCTATTGTTACCATAGCAAACTTAGAAATCTTCATAACAATAATTTACATACTTATTATATTTATGTTTGTATACCTACAACAGCTGTATATCGTATATGTAATTAATTTACTAGTTAGTAGTCAATATGAAATAATCATGTTTGTTTCACTGTGTGTAAAAATGAATTTTAAGTATATTTTGCTATTTAAGAAGCAAGATAAAATTAGTTAGATAAATTATTGAATACATGAATTAGGTATACCAACCTTCATTTTTTTGTCTCAATAAAAAAATAACAGTTGCCTACCTACAAAATCAATATTAAAAATATTGCAATTAAGAATAATACTACCTACTGATTTATTTAATATTTGCAAGTTTAAAATTGTATAGCGATATTTTAAATGAAATTAATATTAGGTATATAACTATAAAATAAAATATAATATAATAAACCATTAAATTAATATAAGTACTAAATAGAAGTCTTATAAAAAGTAGTAATAAGTGTGTATTGAAAAAAAATTAAACAATACCTATTACCTATGTTTTTTAAATTTTATTTTAATAAATGTATGGATATTTTATATAAGTACAACTTATAACCCGTTATAACCCTAGTAGTGTCGCCAGTGGTTTTATAAAATTAAGTTAGTTTTCTATGAGTGAGTTTTTTTTCATATATATATTATATAAGTGAAAAAGAATATATTTTATAACTAAGTTTATGAGTTTATAACTATTAAACCATTTTTTTTTGTAAATGTCACTTATGCTTATTTATAAGTTGTATCTAATAAATTTTAATAGATTGTGTAAATCAAATAAAGGAAATAAAACTACTAAATTTGGGTTTTTTATGAGAAAAACGATGAAAAACTTGTACTACAAGACGTAAGTACGACAAATTATTTATTATAAATCATTTTTATATAGGTATTATGATAATTTATCATGATAAATAAACTGCACCTCAAAAACCTTAGTGTAATTATTAAAATTTCGATTTACGAAAAAACCTTTTTTTTCAACAACAGTACACACTGGTGTTGATTATAAAAAAAAATATTGTGTCGTCTCATACTTCACGAATTCTATTGTCAATAATTTTAATTATTGATGTATTTCGAGATATATGTAGTATGCACTAAACACTTATATAATATTTCGCCTTTCAAAGTTCAGACTGATTGTCATTACTCGTTGAGCATTATTATAATAATTCTACAGCCAAATTGGTTTTATCATAGTAAAAACTAATAAGTATCGTTACATATTATTATACTATTTGGATAAGACCGCAGAATAAAATGATAATATATGATAATTGATAACACATAACCCCATACTCGATAACTGTACAGGCACCCTTTTAAAATTACATTCGTCTGATAATACTAAATATTATAATAATATATTAATTATATCAAAATCGTGTATTATATATACTACTTATAATTTACACTAAATGTATATTCATACTATATTGCGAGCTATATTGTAATATTATTATTATTTGTTTGTTGTATCGTGTATAAATTTGATACCTGTAAATTGCAATATGATAAGTAGGTTTTGGATATTGGACTCTTAGTTGTGGTCTGTTCATATCGCAGAAAATAAACATAATTTTAACGGTATCAGAACCGTATTATAATAATATGG